TCAGTTCGACATTTCAACCACCTGAAGAAGGCCGGAACGTACAACGGCCGAAACGTTGTAATATATATGGCGACAAAGATGAAGACAATAGTCCGAATAATGTAAATAGTGAAACCCCTCATGTTTTTAAAAATATGGCAATTGTTTTCTAGTACGCCAGTCAACTGTTATTGGGGTATTGCAAATAAATTTCTTCTAAACAAGGAAAATCAAAGAGTTATTTTTTCACATAAATAAATTTATGTTTATCTAGCGAATAAACAAAAAGAATTAAAAACAGCATTTAATTTCATTTTTTGAATGTGTAGATTTCCAAATCTGCGAGTATCACCTGTTCTTTTTAGATACACATTTTAAAACTGAAATTAAAATCTATTTTTTTAATCATTTTAATAATCTTACTTTTGCTAGATAAAATCATAAAGATATTAGTAAAAATAAAAAAAAAAATTAATTAATTTTCCTTGTTTAGAAGAAATTTATATACACCCACTGAACTATAGTGGCTAAAAAAAGAATAATTTTTACTTTAGGTTTAAGAAAAATGACTTGCAGTTTTGAAAATATACACATTTTAAACCTGAGATTAAAACATACTTTATTTTTTTAATATTTAATTTTAGGTGTATTCGCTAGATGGAAACATCATTTTATTTGTAGAAAACAATTTTATTTTTAATTTTTACACTAGAGATCTGCATATCTGGAAATATACAAATTAAGTGAAATTAACTATTTTAATTCTTAATATGTAATTTAGGTGCATTCCTAAAAAAAAAAAAAAAAAAAAAAAAAATTATTTATATATAAAAAAAAAAAATCTTCATTCATTTTTCTTGTTTACAATAACTTTTTCGTGATTGGTGTACTTGGCTTAAAACCCTTACAAAAAATCCGACTTAACATTAAGATGAAACTGGTAACTATTTTTTTTATTTTTACTCGCTATTTTGTTGTTAACTTAAATCTTACCACAAAAAATCTTTTTAACTGAAACAAATAGATTTCAGACATCATATCGTATTTTCTTTTTTCTTTTTCATTTCTTTTGTGAACAAATTTTACATTTATTTCCTAAAACTAGTCAATGTTTTTAAAACATTTTTGTTCAATCTTTTTCTCTTACATAACGGTATAAATGTTGATAAGATTTAATTTTATTAACATCATCTGAAAGACTTTTTCAATACTGTTTCTTTGGATATGGTCACTCAGTAGTGATAGCACTAAAAAAAAAAAAAAAAAAAAAACGAATGATTTCGGTTTCATAAAAAAATTTTGATGCAGCTTTACGGTGTGAAGATAAAACCGAAAAAAAGTCAGTTTTTCGGTTAAACTGCACATCTTTAGTTTGGGCATTGAATACTGCTGTTACATCCGGTCTGGTACTTCTACTATATATCTCAAGATTCTTGACAAAATTCAAAGAAGGATCTGCAATATAATCGATCCTGACCTGTCATCTTGACTTCAGTTACTTTCTCACTGACGTGACATGGCGTGTCATTTCTACAAATATTTTCATGCCAAGTGTTCTGAGGACCTTTCCTTTTTGTCCTTGGTGCTTCAACTGCATTAATTTAAGTGTGCTACTTGATTGCCAATTAGGTCTCACCGTTTTACTGTTGAACTAGCTGGATGTCACTAATCTATTAGTTTCTTGGATTGCACTTATCGCTTGTGAAACTTCCTTCCAATTCCTTCAAAAATTGGAATGCAACACCAATTGCCATCTTCTGTCTTTCTGAACCCTAATCTTTTTGTGACCTTTCTCCTCACTAAATTCTTCTCATTGTCTTTCATTCTCTATAAGCTATTATATCCTGATGGCATTATCATCTTGCTCGAGGTGAAATGATTAAAAGAAAAGCTTATCAGTAGTATCAACTAATGCAATATGCTACTATCTCAGCAATGAGACTTTTATACAAGTTTATATTGGTGTGATACTTCACAAATATCTTTGTACATTCAAACTTTTCAAACTCTAATAAACCACTGATAAATATAAAATGTGAAATTGCCCAGTTGTACCTAGAAAATAAATTAAAACACCAGAAAAACACACACACACACAGGCATCACATGATTTATACAGCTTCCAAATCCAAGCTTTGGGGGGGGGGGCTGTGGTGAGCACACACTCAGAAGAGATTCTACAGTTTCATATTTGTGATTTTTTAAAGCCCATTTATAACAGCAGCCTATCATTAGGCCTCCTTAGAATATTGTGCAAAGTGAACATGAAACAATATCTGAGAAGTCAGCATCTTCAGTATGTTTTAGAATTTGTTAGCAAAGCTCTTGCTATCAAAATCACCTTGTCATGTTGCTGAGGTTAAGATTGTAGTGATCAAGAAAGCATTCTCTTGGGAGTCAATTCCACAAAGTAGTAATTCATATAATGTGACCGAGAATCCTGTACCAACAGCATAAAAAAAGTGTATACAGAAGTGATTCATCTGTAGAGATGGTCAGCATTAAATAACTGAGGAGTTATTATTCCATTTCTATCATACATTGCCTCATATTAAAGAACATTACAGATTTTTTTTTTTTTTTACAATAATGTTCACACTGTATGAGGCCCAAGAGCCACTTGAGGTAAAGGATTACAGAATATGAGGTAAGAAGCACAGTTTACAAGAATATGTGGAGGAGATAGCAGTTAACCCTAGACTTGAACAGGTCTAGCTTGTAGTGATCAAGAAAGCATCCTCTTGGGATTCAGTTCCACAAAGTAGTGATTCATATAGTGTGACCAAAGATCCTGCACCAACCACATAAAAAAGTGTATACAGAAGTGAGTCATCTATAGAGCTGTTATTCTATTTCTATCATACAATGAATCATATTAAACGACATTACCTGTGCGCATGTGAAACAAAACACAAAAAGGAGATTGAAACCACTCCTCTTTATCGATACGTCCACAAAGTATATGTTTGTCAAACTCTTCAAGATGAGTTTGACAAACATAGACCAATAAGGTTTTGAGAGGCCAAATCCAGTGCTAACTAAAACATTAACAGGAACACATTTATATGGAACAGGTCTGATATAACTGCACAAGAATGTCAATAATGTAAATATTACATGAATGTAGTTACAGGCTATGGGTAACTTTCTCAAACAGATTTCCTTCAATATAAACAGTTATTTGAAATATCTGTAAAAATCAGAAAAAGCTGGTATTTTAAATAGAATGGAATCTGACATAAATAATGAAATTCCCAAGAGTACTTTTATGTATTCACTAATGTATACTTGACCAAATAAAGCTTATAGATTGTACTTTGTTAATTGATCCATTAAAAGATTAAAAAAAAAATTAACCTCAAAACCAGATCAAATTCTGACAAAGTTATTCGTTTCAATTTCTTTCAGAATTATCATTCACTGGTTCATGTGAGACAATAAAGGTAAAACTTTATTGCAACACTAAGACTAGTTACTTACAAAATACCTGTTCATCTTCTGTTTGAAGAGTTTTATATTCATGTCACAATGGTTGGTCAACATGACTACATGATAAAGTATAAGTCTGACAAAGAAAGAAATGCCATTCTATACTCTGTGTCCACTGAGTAAAGCTATTTACTATGGATTGATCACAAAGAAAAGTTAAGTGGCTGTTCTTCAGAAATAAACAAGATACAGATTAAGATATGCATTTGAATGAAAAATAAATTATAATCTGCTATCCGCACTATGAAATGCAAAATCTATAGCAATATAGAAGGATTTTTATTGTACAGAACAATTATCTACAAATGTGAAATAGCTTTAAATGATCCACATACACTTAATATTATTGGATTGCTCTGATTTTTGTATCCTGAAAACTGTTTTTATTTTGAAGATGTTAATACTACAACTTCAGTTATTATATGACCAGCAATATAAAACATATATTTTATTTTTTCTTAGAGAAAGGTGGATGCTGAAAAGTTCTCAGCTTGACTAATTTCCTAATATCTGACCAAATCTATTTACTGTATGTTGTTTTCCTCTGTCCCTCTTGCCTTCAATGTCCTTTGAGTATCAAATTTTCCAAGCCCTCTTTCCTTATTATGTGCCCTAGAAATTTCAACTATCTCTTCCTGAAGTATAAGTGTTCTTTTAATTTCCATTTTCTCTAAAACTGTCGTCATTCACATGTTCGGTCCATGGTATTCTCAGCATCCTTCTGTAGAACCATATTAAAGGAGAGAATCAAAAGATCAAAGGTACAGGGTAATGAATAATCTTAGTTGTTAACATCCATGAAATTTTCATGAGTCCAATTCATAATTATTGTGATGGGTTATTAAACAACACTAATTCCAAAAGAAATTGTTACACATTGTGATATAAAGATCAGAAAAAAAGTTAATACTTTTTTGTTGGTTTGAGATTTTATGATAGGAATTGGAGTTAAGTAATAAAACCATTAAAACTGTTTAAAATTACTGTTTGTCACAAGTCTTGTAACTCATGTCATAGTGGCAACACATGTACTGCAGCTATGGCAGTCGTGGTGTATCAAGGGTAAGATAGCTTAAGAAGCCCATTTCTCTTCATAAATTTTGGCATTTTCTTTTTTTAGACTAGTTGCTACCTCAAGACAAGAGAACACAATCAGTCTCGCTATGTAATGTGTACCAGAGCTGGGGAATTTATATTTTTTGTGAAAGTATATGAGTGTAAGTAAATGTAATGAACTTAGATGGAATTTGAAATGAAAATTATATCATAAAAAAAATCATGTGCTTGTTAATATTAGTTTTTCCCTTGAGAAGCACAAGTGCATAGAACAAACACTATATAACGTGTTTCTCAATATCATTTTGAGGATAAGTTAATCCAAAGCAAAGAAACAGATAAACAGATAAACAAAAGCAATCATACAAACATCATGAAAGAAAAATTCTTGTAAGATAACTCCTGTATTTTTTAAAAGATTTTCTGAATTATCAGTCAATAGAAAGACTTAATGACTTATGAGAGTATGAAAATGATTACCTAAATTGAGTAGGAGAGAAAGAAACAGAGTGAGAGAGAGAGAGAAAGAAACAGAGTGAGAGAGAGAGAGAAAGAAACAGAGTGAGAGAGAGAGAGAAAGAAACAGAGTGAGAGAGAGAGAGAAAGAAACAGAGTGAGAGAGAGAGAGAAAGAAACAGAGTGAGAGAGAGAGAGAAACAGAGTGAGAGAGAGACAGAAAGAAACAGAGGAGAGAGAGAGAGAGAAAGAAACAGAGAGAGAGAGAGAGAGAAAGAAACAGAGGAGAGAGAGAGAGAAAGAAACAGAGGAGAGAGAGAGAGAAAGAAACAGAGGAGAGAGAGAGAAAGAAACAGAGGAGAGAGAGAGAAAAGAAACAGAGTGAGAGAGAGAGAAAAAGAAACAGAGCGTGAGAGAGAGAGAGAAAAAGAAACAGAGCGTGAGAGAGAGAGAGAAAAAGAAACAGAGCGTGAGAGAGAGAGAGAAAAAGAAACAGAGCGTGAGAGAGAGAGAGAAAAAGAAACAGAGAGAGAGAGAGAAAGAAAGAAGAGTGAGAGAGAGAGAAAGAAACAGAGGAGAGAGAGAGAGAAAAACAGAGGAGAGAGAGAGAGAAAGAAAGAGAGTGAGAGAGAGAGAAAAGAAACAGAGGAGAGAGAGAGAGAAAGAAACAGAGGAGAGAGAGAGAAAGAAACAGAGTGAGAGAGAGACAGAAACAGAGTGAGAGAGAGACAGAAACAGAGTGAGAGAGAGACAGAAACAGAGTGAGAGAGAGACAGAAACAGAGTGAGAGAGACAGAAACAGAGTGAGAGAGACAGAAACAGAGTGAGAGAGAGAAAAGAATGATCAAGAGAGTGAAAATGAAGTTTGTAGATAGAAGTGTGGAGAGAAAATAGATGATTAACAAGTTAAGCCTAATTTGACACACACAGGTGTAAATCAAACAACACAGAATTAACAACATGCAAATCATCTGCCATGGTCATACATGGATTAATTTGAAACAGTGAGCAGAGTAATATTTCTTCACAAGGAAAATATCTCATCTCAAGTATCATTGGAAGGTTTTTGATAAATAGAAAATTTGCCAATGGCCTAAGTAATCTTTACTTTGCATACTTTCAAAATAAATAATAAAAAAAGAAACCAGAATTTTTTAAAAATTATGTTTACCTATTTTACCTTCCAATCATTAAAGGAATAGTGAAGAGTACAATACAGTACCTGAAATGTGACTAAAAAGAAAGACTAAATAGTCCAATTTAATCAAAATACAATGACTAAGCATCTCATCTAGAAAATATTTTTTTCAAATATTTTCATATGTTGTTGCCATCTTTCTCCAAAAGCTTTCCAATTTTCTCCAGTCAGATATGCTTAAGACCAAAAATTAAAAGAAAAAGAAAATGTTTCAAATCAGTAACATTTGGCAATTAAGGTTTTTAATATACAAGATTCATTTTAATACTCATTGGACAGGACATCAACATCTTAAAAAAGAAACTTGTGTCAAAATGAATTTGGAGAGTGAAAGATGTACAGGAACATAAATTACACTATTTTGCAAACAACAAAAATCATTTGATAACAAAGAAATTATGAGATAAATATTGGTATCCCCAAAGAAATGCAATATCTAAAGTTTAAAATTAATTTTTACAAATGAAAAATCTTGAAGCTTTTATTCTAGTTTTAATTCCAAGCTAATAAATTAAATTTATTATTTCCAATAAACAAAATACTTTGCTATATTTCAAAACTTGACTGAAAGGAGTTTTAAAAAAAAAAAAAAAAGAAAAAAGAAAAGAAAAAAGAAATCACTAAAAAATCACCGATTTTAACCATTTTTAGCCATCTGTCAGCACAATGTCATTCTCTTCATTAAAAAATCTTTAAAAAATAAAATATATTTTTCTGAAACTTTATTTGAGGAATATTAGCTAATTTAAAGTTTAATTAATCTGATTTGAAACAAATATTAATTTTAGTTTGAAATATCACAGAAAAGCATATTTTAACGTAGAGATAGGTGTTTTGATTAGGTGTTGACAGTTCTATTGACAGAAGTTTATCTAATTTTTTTCTATGGAAAAGGGGAATATTGGTAAAAAAAAAAAATAGAAATATAATGTGAGTGCCTTTTTTTTATATAATATTTAAGGAACCAATAATTTTAAAAACTTAGGAAAATATTCTATGGAATCTAATGATTATTGAATTTTAGGTATTTTGGTTTTAAATTTACTATAGTTACCACTCTTATTTTCTGATAGTGTCATGTATGTACTTCCATATTTACAAAGATCAGCATATTTATACACATACACACAAAAAAAAATTAAAAATTTTTTAAAATACTGGTGGTCAATGAATTGTAGTAAGCGTTTCCATATATGGTTAGTAAATATAATTCTTATCTATTAACAATATCACCTAACCGCTACAAATTAATACAGAATTTTAAAAGCTTTAAAACTTCATAAATTGTTCTAATTAGAATTTTAAAAAAAAAAAAAAAAAAAATGAAAACAATTCTTGTAAAAATTCATTATTCATAAAAAAAAAAAATAAAAAAAAGTTTTAAGACAATAGTGTCCATAACATCTTATGCATATACACAATTAAAAGCTTTTCTCATTAAATAATGTCTTAGTTTTATAGCAGTTTTTATTTTATGATTCAGAGCTGATTTTGAGTAAGTTTTCCTGCTTTACAAAAAAAAAGAATCTTCAATCAGTTCTGCATATAACTAATACAAACATGTTGTAAACTAGGGAAGGTTATTGAATAGAATAGTCAAACGAAGGTAGGTAATGCATGATAATACTTAGAACAAGAACAACACATAAGATTCACCACCGGTATATAGAAGTAGTCAACTGCTAGAAGTGAGTCAAGTGAATTCCACAATGAATCTCAACTGCAGGATATCTACCAACTGCTCTACGTGGTCAGTTTGTGGCACAAGGCAGAATTTAATATGAGGTACCCAAGCCTGTAGGTTTGGCCAAAAATTCCCCATAGACCCCGTATAAAACAGGGTTGGGTAGTTGTTTCCCCGAGACAAGACTGCTCTTCGACAACCTCATCTGGGGATCCTCTCTGCCTGGAGGTAGAGAGTTTGACCAGGACAACTGGAGACGAATCTCCAACTACAGACCAACATACAGTATTTACTACTGTAAATATGTGAATGGGAACATACCCATTATCATCCGTAGGTATGCTACAACAAAACATTAAGTGGTACAAAAATTAATTTCTTGAAGTTTCATAAAAATTAAATAAGTGGATGTATAAAAAAAAAGTTTTTACCAAGATTTTCTAAAAAGGAAATATTTCTAAAATAATGCTATTCATTTGTGAATAAGCCCTGAAAGTTTAATTAAAATCCAACAATTATTTGATTTTTGCAAGAATTTCCAAATCAATATGTTCTTAACCACAAAAAGACAAGCATTTCCTAATAAAGGATCAAAAAATAATTTAACAATCAACAAATCTTTTGGTCTTTCCTCATAACATAGATTATGATGAAAAAAATTTTGTTTTAGTAAGTTTGGAGCATTTTCATCATGTATGCTCATTTTTTAGCAAATCCATGGAGGTACCTAGATATGATCTGAAAAGAGGAATTTTGTTTTTGTTGCAATTAATATTCACAGGATATGCATTTTACAAAACCTCAATACAAAGAAATCAAATTATTTTGTTGAGTGGAGTTGATAATGACCATCACTAACCTGGCAATCAAGAGGTAATCTAATTACAATTTTTAGGTATTTTATAACCTTTGAATTACATAGCCATAAATCAAACAAAGCAATTGAGAAGAGATATTTTCACTACAGGAAGTAAACCAGACAGTTCACATACATAAAACTAGGTTAAATTTAGGTCAATTTTAACCAAACAAGGAGTAAAGAGATGAAAAAAATCTGGTCAATGCCACTTGGTAACAATCCTTACAATAATACATTGATCAAAATATTAATAATTAAACAAAGAAAAAGAAAACAACTGTCAAATCGGACAAACTATAATCAGTTTTTATATAAACTTTATTTGATTCTTCAGAGGGAAGATATATCTTCAGGTTGAGCTTGATGATAGAATTGGATACAACAAGTTTTACATCCCAAGTGCCAGGTTGATGAGAACCTTTAACATCTGTTTATATTTATGAGAAGAGGTACTGCAACTATTTACACTATTTACATTGTTCAGACTGTTTGGGGATACTTGGTTCAATGGATAAAAGCCTTGATTAAAGTAATCCAAAAGTGACTTGACACAAAGAGTTCTAAGTTCAATACCTGGCCACTGCAGAGTTGAGTTATTAAAAAAAGGGAATTAACTGAAACTGAGAAAAGGCATGGCATGTGGAACTAGAGGTTTTGGTTTGAAATTCCAACGTATATCACCAAAAGAAGGCTGGAGCATACAATGGCTGCAATGTTGTGAATATGACAATAAAGATGAGAACAACAATCCAAACAATGTAATATAAATTGATGAGAACCTGTTAAGCATGCTCTCTATTAAAAGGAAAAATAAAATTTGAAGGAAAAAATTTTTTAAAAAGAACGAAGAATCATTTCTCAAACACAGTGTAAAATCTACAATACTAACATACACTCAAGAAAAAGTATCTTGAAAATTAATTTTCAAGCAGGTTTCTTCATATATCTAAACAGTTAAATGTACCTTAACTTTTAAGTAAATACTAAGTGAAGATATAAAAAATGTCTGGTCAGTGCTTTGAAAAGAATTAATTTAAATATGAAAATTTAGAAAATACATATCAAGTTCAATTACACGTGTTAGAACGTCATCTGCCCTCAAATTAGCAATTGGTAACCAGCTGAACAAAGTAAGCTATATTTTGAGATTAGATTCAATAGAATAATAAGATGTAAAATAGATCAGGTTTCATTTCAAATACTAGGTTAGTAAGGTTTATTACTTTAAAATGTGTTTTAAAACTGAAAGTAGACAATTGACATTTTCCTCCCAACATATAATGCTGGTGTTCAGATCAAAAATAAATAAATAAAAGTAGAAGCCAACATTGTTTGCTAAATATATTAACTTATTAAACCCAATGTCAATAAATTGGAGTTCAGAGTATTACCATAAAATATTTGTTAAAAATAAAAATAAAAATAAAAAAAATAAATAAATATATTTAATTCTGTGGAACTTTCAATTCCCAAGTGCTGAATATCAACCTGAGAGGGAGATACAGGTTAGACTGGTTAATTTCATGACATTAATTTTTGTTAACATAATTTTGGATTTTGTATGGTACACTCACTGAGGCTCAAACTTGCTATTCTGTAATAATAGGCAACTACACTAATTTGGCTGTTATTCTAGTATACTAAACTTATTTTAAAAAGGTACTTGTATATTTTATTGCAATAAAATCTATTTTTTTTTTTAAACTGTAGTTATCTACGAAGCTGAGTATGGCACAAAGCATAGAGCACCCAGCTCACTATACAATGGTAACAATCCGATAGGCTAGCCCAATACTTATCCGACACACAAGTTAACTTTTAGCCAGTGAAGTAAATATTTCTCCTCATTTTAGATGGGAGAAGGCGCCCAATTCTGGTTATTCCAACCCAGCAGCAGCACCTTCCACAGAGAAGAGTGAAAGAGGTAAGATCGGTGTATTATTAATCAATGCCAGTGGTCATGGGAATACTTTGTGTCCTTAGATCATAAACATACGTATACATATGGTGCTTCCGACATTAAAACAACCTTGTGTCATCATATCCTGCCTTAGTGTAGAGGCTGGATAAATATACCTAGCCCAATAAATATGACTTCATAGGAAGACATGCTGGAAAGTACTGCATAAGGTTATATAGAAGCCCACCTCTGCAATTATAAAATTCAAGGTCTGTAAGACAGTACTTCCTTCATACTGCCAAGTTAAGGGGATCCTAATCAATTGATATAGTACCTCTTAACTCAAAGAAAAGAAAAGAAAAAAATGTATGCACATGTGTATATACAAGTCAATGGGGTATTAATTTTTCTTTATAGAAAATTATGGTTGAAATATGCAAGTCACATAGAGGTCAAGATGACAAAAAAAAAAACTTATTCATATTCTAGCATATGGTAAATCCCCATCAAATTATGCAGTAGAAATGAGAAGGACCACCCAATATGGTCCTTTGCATCTCAGTAGCCAAGTTAAAAAGAAAAATACATCAAAGAAAAAAATGATGCTTGAAAGATATTAAGATACTGCCTCACCAAGACTGACAGATTAGATGGGAAAGGAAAGAGGGGAGAAAGGAAAGAGGGGAGAAAGGAAAGAGGGGAGAAAGGAAAGAGGGGAGAAAGGAAAGAGGGGAGAAAAGAAAGAGGGGAGAAAGACCAGTGAATCAACTGATTCACAAGAATCAGCAAAAAGGAAAAAAAGAATGAAAATAAAATACAAATACAGAAAAGTCAACAGCATGAAAAAGCAGGAAGCAATGATGCATTGATAATATTCATGATGTCTTCTTGCTTCTACAAGTGCAATTGCTAATGTTAGATGACACAAACAAAAATGACATCAAAATCCTGGAAGATAGCTCAATAGTTAACAAATTGAACTCATTCGCAGGAGTTTAAATTCTCATGGGATATAAAACTAATTTAACTGTTAAATAATCAACACTATACAATATACATATTACTGTCAGATGTTGTGTGTGTATATTATATATATATATATATATATATATATATATATAACAAACCGAGCTATTAGAAAAGTTTGAAAGAATCACCCAACAATAAAACTGCCAAAGGGAAAAAACATGAAGAAAAAAAAAACCAAAACAACAAAGGAAAGAAAGAGAGACACCTAGCTCTATAAAAACCTAAATTGATTAAGCACTCTAGAAAGTGAACTAAGACAGATTAGTAACATCAACAAACCAAACAGCACTCACAGACCTAGATCCAAATTAGTAGCAAGTTTTACGCTAAGCAACTGTCACAGGTGCAAATATATATATATATATATATATATATATATATATATACACACACACAAAATTCTGAGAACTTTAACAGGTATGTATGTGTTTCATTGAATAATACAGACATATTGGAAAAGCTAGTATAAAAATAAGTTGACAAAATATGTATTATTTAATGAAACATGTCTGAATTAAGATATACAGCCTATTATAAATATTTATGAATAAAAAGACAAGAGATATTTGTCATTTATAAACCAGTTAGCATTACTGTTGTAAAATCTTTTTCAAGAAATAAAATTTCTGAAGTCTACTACCTTTCTAGTATTAATGGGTGCTTCCCTCCTAACCTTTTGTTTAAAGGTAGTGTGAAAAGTTAACATCTTGATTATATCATTATTATCCTTTCTAATTATACATGCTACACATTTTAATTATTACCACTGCTGGAAGTCTTCAAGTGAGGTAGTTCTTGTTATTTGATAAAGCTCTTTGATGAAGGGTGCTCTTTTTTCTTTTTTTTTTTTTTTTTTTAAAAAACAAAGGATTCATTTAATTGATGCCATTTTAATCACTGATCTGAGAAAATGGTTAAAGAATAGCTGATAACACATGACCAAATATACACAATTTTTACAAACACTGGCACCAAATATACATTGCCCTGCATGAAAGCAAGTGCAAAAGCACTAAAGATTTTTCATCAAAAACAAACTTTGTAGTCCTTAATAAGAATAAACGAAAAACTGTTGCCAAAATATACATTTGTTCCTCTTCATCTCATGCATATATAACATTTTTACTTTGGATATGTTGATGTTATATAATTTAAGCTATGAATTGTGATCAAATATGGATCGGAATCTGACAGAATGATAAGATAAAGAACAAAGAAAATGTTTATGAATCTAACTTTTATTAAAGCTCCATCAGAGAATGAGATATGGAGAAAAAGAAAGAAATTCTGGTATTTTTATTTTTGTGCTGTTTAATTTTTATTGGTTAATCAGGTTTCATTTGACTTGTTAAACAAATGTTATTATAATTTGTGGCATTCTGAATTCAAGGAGAGATGATGCATCCATTCAAAGTTTCAAGAAATTTATAAAAATCATACACTTAATATATATAGGCTTGAGCAAATATTTTAGGTACATAGTGTCAAGTGACTTCCTTTGAATTTCGGAGATTAGGAGTTATTATTTATATTATTTACACACAGGCTATTGTTACCTTTGTTATCATCACAATTCATTAGATCTGGGAAATTTTCAGGGAATTTTGAATTTAAACATGTATTTAATCTACACTGTTTTCATTCTGCTGGTTCATACCTAAGGATATCTCATCTAGATTTTTTTTCCATTTTTTCTACCCAGCTTAAGGATTGAACTCACAATTACTATATCACCAAAGTCCTGAATCCATGCTTTAATCTAATAGGCTATTACCCCATGGGACAATCCTGAATCTAGAACTTGAACCTAATTTGCCTGATGCTTAAACTGCTTCTGCTTGTCACACTTGACTGCATTGACCAAGGCTTTGCAAAAGTAAGAAATGGGAAGCCTTAGTGAATGCAGTTAAGCATGATAAGCAATAACAGTCAGATTATGTTTAAGGTTCAGGTTCTCCACTCAAGATTATAACTTTGTGATTCTTGATTTAATCAAAAATTCAAATAGAGATTAAAAAAAAAAAAAAAAAAAAAAAAAAAAGAATATATTAATGTAAAATTATTATATATATATATATATATATATATATATATATATATATATATATTAAGAGATATGGGCACATGGCTGAGTTGTTAGAATATTCACATTTTGACCATGAGACCAGGGTTAGAATCTCACCATGGTCGACTTATCAGGAAGGAGACTTCCTGATGTTATCGAACTGGAGGGGATCAATCCCAGCATGCATCACCTTTGGAATGTGCCTGAAGGCCTCACCACAGGTTGACACAAGCCTTGTGAGTGAAATTGGGTAGACAGAACCCTTGGGTGCCATCGATAACTGTGCTAGCACAAAGTCACAAGTCATCATGGCCAGCTATGCATATATTAAGAGATTTTAATAAAAACTACAAAGTTTAGCAATTAAATGTTTTATTCATTTTATAATAAATAAATAAGCTTTAAAAAAAAAAAAAAAAAAAAAATTATCCAGTACTTTTTACAATCTCCTTTATTATTTAAAACAGCCAAAATTCCTTTTAGTGGTGAGGAATGATCAATATTTGTACATTCAGCCATCTCCTAAAGCTGGTCAATAGTTTCTTAATCTTTATCCTCTTCCACTTTAATACATTCAAACTATTTTCTATAATATTCAAGTCTTGACCAAATTTTTTCTTTTTTATACATACACTTTCATTTTAATTAATTTTTAGTCAACTTTAATGATGACAGATCAGACCATCCTGTTGAAAAAAGTCTTTTCAAATTTTCATATATTTGAAATATGTATTCATTGAGTATGTATTGATATTCTTTTGAATTTACATTTCAATCTCCTCAAATAGATCCCAATTCTGTAATTGATACCAAGTGTTCTATATTTTTCACTAAATAATGAATTAAGAGGTCTTAGCACATATTGTATTGTACTTGGAAAAAGCTCAATTCCATCTTTGAGAAAATAAACCATTTTTCCAATCCAATTCACTTTCAGAAGCACATTTTCCTGCATTCCATTTATTTTTCAATCAGCTTCTCTTTTCTAGCTGAAATTCAACCACATAAACAACTTTTGATAGCATTTAAACCAAATTAAATTCATTTTGAATTTGATAGGCCATTTTTTTTTTTTTTTTATAGGGTTTCTTCAGTTCAATGACATTTTCTTTTTCTCATTGAGATAATTTGCATTTACAACTGATTTTGTTCATCCTGAAAAAACAATATAAATCTGCTATACACTTCTGAGGCCTGTTTAGGGGCCAGAAAGAAAGACATGGAAGATGAAAGTAGGTTGAACAAGTATATGGAAGATACATACAAAGCAAGAGTGTTAGTAATAAGTAGATAGCTGTGTACATCCAAACAGTAGGTTAGCACTGCATCTCCTCCTGACTCTCGCAGTTAGTATTTATGAGAGGAGGAAGAGTTCATTCTACTGTAGGAGGGTTTACCACAACATCAGGATAGAGGCAATTTCCCCTTGGGATTTACCCCTTTTTTACAAACAGCAACAACATGTCATAATTTTTAAAATGAAAACATGTTGAATTTGACAATAAAATGCATAAATTGAATAAAATGTGGATTTTATTTGTTTGTAAATAACACTAAGCTAATATAAATTCTCATTTTACTAAGCTATAATTAAGTGCTCAAAATGTTTGTAGTTCTTGTTAAAATTCCTATTACTGATTATATCCGTCTATATTTTTGAGATGAGGTATTGTAACTATTTACATTGTTCGCATTGTTGTCCTTATATTTATTGTTATATACACTAAATAAAGGGGTCAGTTTGAAATTCCAACATATATCACCTGAAGAAGGCCGGTGCATACAACAGTCGAAATGTCTTGAATACGACAATAAAGATGGACAATAGTTTAAATAGTGTAAATACTGATTATATATTCAAAATATATAGAAAAAGTTTAGATTAATGCTTTTTGATTTGTCATTTATCTATTTAAATTTTGGATTAAATCCAGAGTCACAATTTTAAGTGAAATCATTTTTAATGTACTTGACATTATGTACCTAAAATATGTTCTCAACTTTGTTATTATTGCAATGTTTTGGCCATTGTATGCTCAAGCATTCCCCAGGTGTTTGTCAATTCAGGTAACCCTTGGGAAATTTCAAACAGAACCCTTTAATTTAATCTACAGGAATAGATTGTTCTTGTACTGCTGATCATGTCTAAGAAAATCTCATTTTGGTCCTTTTGTTTTTTAGTACTGCTCAGTTATTACTAACCTTCTGTATACTAAATCTGTACTCATAATCACAAGTCCTGTAATCCATTAGGGTTGTCGGGGCACCACATGTACTGTAGCCATAGTAGAAGTGGTTTGAATTCAGTTTTCTTTTTCCTAGACAAGTTGCCAACCAAGGCTATAGAGCCCAGTCTGTCCTATTTACCCATAACTGGGAGGAGGAAGATGGATTCATACCTTTCCCCGAAGGTATTAGTATGTAAGTGAATATAACGAACTCAACTTGAATTCAAACTTTGCTCTCCAATTCCTCAATCCAAGCCACTATCCATTACTTCACTGCAGTCTGTACTACCAAGCCCAGAGATTGAACTCACAATTACTATGCCACCAAATTCACAAACTGAAACATTAATCCTCTAAGCTATTGTTATGTGACATAGTAATTTTAGGTTCAATCCCTGGACCTGGCAGTACAGACAGCAGAAAGTGCTAGGAATAACAGTACTAAA